TCCTCACTTGCATCAGATTTTACTGTTCCAAAACAAGTGCTATTTATCAATTTAGAGAAACCGTACATATTGTGCCATCTGACATTTCCATCTAGTCTTAACCATGATCCTGTTTTTTTAAGGAAAGAATAGAGCCTATGAAATTATTCAGAGGGCCTGCAAAAAGGTTTTTGCACAGGTGCCAAACATGTCAGCAGCAGCTCAAGGTTCCTCAAGGGAAATATCCGTGGAGATTCTCAGTCATCCAAGTCATAGTTGCCTCAAAAGTGCTGTTTCAAAAGGCAACTGGATTGGTTTTTTTTTTTCCCCTGGAGGAGGAAGAAGCAAACATTTCTCATCCAAGAAACTTCATCAGTTGTGATGGCAGCATGGGTGGGGTGGGTAATGGAAGGATAGTGACAGTTGAGACTGGATGGTAGGGTAATGGAAGGGTAGGATTCTTTCCAGATGTTGGGGGTGGTAGGATGGATTTCTTTGCAGTCATCTGGTCCATTAGCACTCCGGCCTTGGGGGTTTCTTTGCTCCCTGACTCATTTGAATTAGGGTGCAATTGATTGTGGAATCTTCTTGGAACTGCTGTATGATGTGTGTGGTAGACTGGAAATAAGTGATCCCTCCCCCTCCATTGGTTGAGAGAGGACTGCTCAATGTTAACATAAATGGCCTCTTTTACCCCTCTTTCAAGCCAATGATCTTCTCTATCCAAAATGTGGACTCTGCTGTCTTCAAAAGGGCGACCTTTGTCTTTCAAATGTGGATAGACCTCCAAATCTTGTCCTGATGGGTCTGATCTCCTATGTTGTGCCATGCGCTTGTGAAGTGGTTTTTTTGTTTCACCCATGTTTTTCCTCTAGGAAAAAAACAAAACAGTCCAGTTGCCATTTGAAAAAGCACTTTTTGATTTTCCTCAAGGGAAGAAACGGTTGGGCCCCGTTGAAAAACCGACTTTCCTTATCTTGAACCCAGCCAGTCAGTCATAACGTGACAAATAGCAACAATAACAACGACGTCTTAAGACTAACTATATGCCGAGTAATACAGCCACCCTCCATGGCTCTCGCTGGCTGGGAACCATAGGCGGTGTAGTTGCTAGCCATCTGAAATGCTAGTCCCATTTCACCCACTTGAGGGGGCGGCTTTGTACTTGCGGGTCCCTTTCCTCAATACCGCTTTTATCCATCGGATCATTATTATTTTCATTTGTGTTCTGTTCCTTTTTTAAAAAAGAAAAGAAAAAAAGAGTCTCCTCAGCCGGCCTCTTTTTTTCCCGCTCTGGAAAAAAAAAACGGCCATCGCCTGCCGGGGGCGAGGCACGTGCCCGCTCCAAAAGGCGCAGGCGCAGCTTTGCTCGACGTGGTAGGTGGGGCCCGCGGGGATTCCCTTTTTTTCCAGGGAGCCTTTCGCGCCTGCGCGAACTTCGCATTCCTTCTCCTGGTCCGGAGCGAGTAAAGCGAAACATAAGTAACGGTTCTATTTTTCTGCATTTGGGAGGGGCGGGTTGATTCGGAGCAATTGCTCCGTCTGAAAAGTTGCGGAGTGCCGGGTTCTCGTTTGTATCGTTTCATGATAAAGGCGTGAGAATTCCAGCGGAGGTAATTGAAGTGTGTGGGGGGGGGCTCCGGGTCGGGAAAACCTGGGATGGCTAACAAACTCTGCATGGAGGCAGGTCCACGCATTGCACCGAGCTCGGATGCTTTAATCCTGGTTTGTGGGAGAAATCACAGCTCGCTGGGTTTGCACCGCTCGGGGTTTGTCGGCGCAGCGGTTTCTAGGTATTAGACTTTTCCTCTCGTGCATAACTTTACTACGAGGAGGAACTGTTGGAATATTACAATATTATCTATTGCAATGTTTGCATGTTGATAAATATATATTGATATATATGTTTTCTGAGGTTTTCGCGGGTATTTGTATATAGGTCTTTGGTTGTTCGGGTTTTATATATATATATATATATATATATATATATATATATATATATATATATATATATATATATTATACATTATATATATATAATATATATATATATTATACATTTCTATATTGATTTATATTGAGACATGTTGCAATATTAAAACTAGTGGGACCGGTGGTTCCCATCCAAAAGAGAGAGAGAAAAAAACCCGAGAGGGCTTTGGAGTAGTTTAGAATAAGATGCTCTCCAATTCATGGACTTTAAATATAGGTTATAGGTGTATTTTTGTAATGCATCTGGGAAAATGCAAGAACTCTAGAGCCTGAACAGGTTTAAAGGATCTGCCTCTATAGGTAATGGGAGAAACGGAACGCGGGAAAAATCAAACCGGACGTCAGGGAGGTGGGTTTCCTTCCAGATGGGCGTTTTATAAGGAGAGCCCTCGGGGCTGTTGAGATTTCGTCTTGCAAAAAAGCAACTTTGAAAAGCAATTGTCTGGCTGGCAGCAACCAAATTCATTAGATTTGGAGGATAAGCTAGGATAAGTGAAGGTAGGAACAGGATGAATTTACTCTAGAGCAGAGGGTCTTCAAACTTGGCCCATTTGAGACTTGTGGACTTCAACTCCCACCATGCGTGCCTGGCTGAGGAATTCTGGGAGTTGAAGTCCACAAGTCTCAAATGGGCCATGTTTGAAGACTTGGCGATTGTGTGTTGGGGAGGGAGCAGCTATGCCCTGGAGAGCAAGCGAACGAGCATATAGACATTATGCATTCTTCCTTTCCAACTCCAGCACCACCAAAATTGAGCTCAAAATTTCTGTTGCAAGACGGTTGTTAAGTGAATTTTGCCTCATTTTACGACCTTTTCTTCACAGTTCAGTGAACCACTGCAGTTAGTAACACAGATTGTTAAGTGAATCTGGCTCCCCTGTTAATTTTGCTTATCAGAAGGTGGCTGCAACCGTCATAAATACATGCCGGTTGCCAAGTGCTTGAATTTTGAGCATGGGGGATGCAACCATTGTAAGTGTGAAAAACGGTCATAAGTCACATGCAACTTCAAACGGTCTCTAAATGATTGGTTGTTTGTCGAGGACTACCTGTAGAATTCTTAATGGTGAATTCTTCCTTCTACTTCTTCCAGAAAAGAGGTGGAGCTTTTCTACTAGGTGTATTCCCAAAGGAAGGAGATGCTATTCTCTCCTCCGCCTTAAGGGCAGAGCGAGATTTTAGACTTGTAGAATGAAGGGTGAAGCTGCCACTGTTTGACTTGTCACAGCTTAAATCTCTAAGTAAACATAATCTTTAGCTCCATTCATTGGGAAGGGTATAATTTTATTAGAATAGAATTAGAATAGAGCAGAATAGAATAGAATAGAAAATATGGAATAGAATAGAATTAGAATAGAATAGAGCAGAATAGAATAGGAATAGAATAGAATTAGAATAAATCTCCTTGGCAGAGGGAAGGGGACACTGCCAATAATAGAGTAGAACAGAACAGCATAGCATAGAACAGCACAGAATAGAATGTAGAATAGAATAGCATAGCATAGCATAGCATAGCATAGCATAGAATAGAATAGAATAGAATAGAATAGAATAGAATAGAATAGAATAAAGCTGGAAGGGATCTTGGAGGTATTCTAATCCAGCCCCCTGCTCAAGCAGGAGAATCTATACCAGTGGTTCTCAACCTGTGGGTCGGGACCCCATTTGGGTCGAACGACCATTTCACGGGGGTCGCCAAACAACGCAGTCTGCCATTTTTTCCCCCTTTTCCTTAGCTGTGCTACTCCCTTTTATTCTATTGGCTTTTGAAAGCCAATAGGAATTGTCCAGGCTGTCTCTGCCCTGCTGAGCCCGCCAAAAGTCCCATTCTGCAAACGGTGCTGCACCAGTTGAGTAGTCCTCGACTTGTGATCGGTTGGGGGTCGGGGCATTAAAAAGGTTGAGAACCACTGATCTATACCATCTCAGATAAGTGACTGTCTAGTCTCTTCTTAAAAACCTCTAGTGATGGAGCACCCACGATTTCTGGAGGCAAGCTGTTCCACTGGTCAATTGCCCTGACCGTTAGGAACTTTCTCCTTAATTCCAGGTTGCTTCTCTCTTTGGTTAGTTTTCAACCTTTGTTTCTTGTCCTGCCTTCTGGTGCTTTGGAGAATAATTTGACTCCCTCTTCTTGGTGGCAGCCCCTCAAATACTGGAATACTGCTATCGCACCTCTGTTTTTTCTTTCCTTTAAATCAGTGGTTCTCAACCTTTCTAATGCCGCGACCCCATAATACAGTTCCCCATGTTGTGGTGATCCCCAACCACTTATACATCACCGGGTGCCAGGGGCGTGGCCAAAGAAAAGGGGGAAAAATGGCGGACAGCCTTGTTTGGCGACCCCCGTGAAATGGTCGTTCGACCCCAAATGGGGTCCCGACCCACAGGTTGAGAACCACTGCTTTAAATCAAGTGTATTGCAGTACAGGTAGTCCTTGACTTAACAACAGTCCATTTAGTGACTGTTTGAAGTTACAGCGGCACTGAAAAAAGTGCCTTGTGACGATTTTTCGCACTTATGGCCGTTGCAGCATCCCCATGGTCACATCATTTACATTTGGGTGCTCGGCAACTGTCTCATATTTATGACGGTTGCAGTGTCCCAGAGTCACGTGATCATCTTTTGTGACCATCTGACGAGCAAAGTCAATGGGGAAGCCAGATTTACTTCACAATCATGTTACTAATTTAACAACTGCAGGGATTCACTTATCAACTGGCAAGAAAAGTCGTAAAATGGGTCAAAAGTCAAATTTCTCAACTTTGCAACATAAATTCATGGGTTCAATTGTGGTCGTAACTGAAAGACTGCCTATAATGCAAAGCCAGAAGTGAGGTTTGTGCGGCAAAATCACTGAGTTCTAGTCTCTTTTTAAAATTCTCCAGTGATGGAGCACACAGGATAAAAAATAGATAAAAATAGAATCGCCAACCTGATCGCCAACGTCCGATAACGGATATGGCACAACAAGAAGAAGTGATTCACTTAACACAAATGTGGCAGGAAAAATCGTAAAATGGGGCAAAACTCAACAAATGTTTCACTTAGCAACAGAAATTTTGGGCTCTGTTGTCATAAGTCTTGAAGACTACCTGTACAGTGCAGAACTCAATCTGGGTGTAAACTTGATAGACGGTAAAACGTTTTTTTCTTAGCGATAGAAAAGTCCATTGCAGAAGCAGCCGCCTGCTGAGTGTTAAGCCCAGACATGCCTTTTTAGCCTTGTGTCATGTCTCCCAATCCGTCCCTTGTTTTCATTTTTAGTCTAGTTCCTCCTCAGCCTCACCCAGCAGCTGTTCCAAAGCTGGATCTGGTTAGCATTAACAAACAACAAACAGTAAATTGGGATTTTGGAAGTCCGATTTTGGAAGAAACTTCTAGGGGCATTTATTAAGTAGCGAAGTCTAGGTTGTACTTTGTGAATTTAAAAAAAAAGGTTAATAAGCCTTTGCAGTGGAGAGAAAAAAAAGTTTGAAAGATTTTGTTGTGTTTTTTCCTCACAGCTGTTTGTGTTGAACTTTGGAAGAAACCTCTAGTCTAGGAAGACTTACTTTTTTTAAGTAAGGAAGCCTACAGTTGTACTTTGTGAATCAAAAAAAGGTAAGTCTTTGCAATGCACAAAAAAAGTTTAAAAGATGTACTTGGTTAAATTTGGTTAAGTTTTAACTTTGTTTAGTCTTACTGTGGCTTCACATATTGAGCAAAGTTGGTTAGGTTATATTTTGGAGTTTTGCATGAGCCCAGCAGATAAGGTTTTTTTTTCAACAACTAAAAGTGTGGCATTAATGTGGTCACTTCAAGGCCATAGGCAATGGCTTCACCTTTTTAAATCTTGTTAAATGCACTTTGTACTCTGATTAGATTCAGAGAAGAGATCCTCCCTGATCACACGAAGCTTCGGGATCATTTGGTTCCTATTTACTTCAAGCATAATGCAAACCCACAAGGAACAGTTTGGAGATAACGATTTATGGCATAGTAGTATAGGTCAGAGGTCCCCAACCTTTTGAGCACCAGGGACCGGTTCTGTGGAGAGAGGTTTATCTGCTGACCGGAGGGTGTGTGGTTTTGTGTGCTGCCTGCATCCCCTGATGGGGCTTTGTTGTAGTCCTTGACTTAAAATAGTTTTTTTTTTTAAAATGACCATTTGATGTTTTAACAGCACTGAAAAAAGTGACTTACAACTGTCTTTCAGCGTTGCAGCATCCCTGTGGTCACCTGGTCACAATTTGGATGCTTGGCAACTGATTCCTATTTGTGACGGTTGTGAGGTCATGTGATCACGTTTTTGCGAAGGTGCCGTCAATGGGGAAGCCAGGCTTACCTAAAAAGGGCGTTACTAACTTAACCACTTTAGTGACTCACTTAACAGTGTCAAGAAAGGTCGTAAAATGGGGCAAAATTCACTTAGCAAATGTCTCAGCCATAGAAATTTTGGGCACAGTTGTGGTTGTAAATCAAAAGGCTACCTGTACAATGTGCATACAGGTCGTCCACTACTCATAAACCATCACTTAGCTACCATTTGAAAATGGACCACCTGGGGCAGGGGTAGGCAACCTTGGCTCTTTTATGACTCGTGGACTTCAATTCCCAGAATTCCTGAGCCAGCATGGCTCAGCTTGGAAACCTTTCCCTTTCCCCTCAGCATGGCTGGCTCAGGAATTCTGGGAGTTGAAGTCCACGAGTCATAAAAGAGCCAAGGTTGCCTATCCCTGACCTAGGCCTGTATTTCTCAACCTTGGCCACTCAGAGATGGGTAGACTTCAATCCCACCCAGAATTCCTGAGCCAGCATGGGGAAACTATGGCCCCTTCATGACTCATGGCCTTCAACTCCCAGAATTCTTGAGCCAGCATGGGGGAACTATGGCCTCTTCATGACTCGTGGACTTCAACTCCCAGAATTCCTGAGCCAGCCTGGCTCAGCTTGGAAACTTCTCCCTTTCCCCTCAGCATGGCTGGCTCAGGAATTCTGGGAGTTGAAGTCCACGAGTCATAAAAGAGCCAAGGTTGCCTACCCCTGACCTGGCGGTTCCGATAGCTGCCTCTTCCCTTCCCTCCTCCCCCTGGTAACATGGCTGCATTTCAATTATTCTGCAACTGGCATGCACTTACAGTTTTGTGACCGTGTTTTACAACATTTTTGCTGAAATCTAACATTTCCTTCCAGTTTTGGGCAAAACTAGCCCATAGCAAACAATTGGTTCACTTAACCACTGCTGCAAAATAGGTCATTAAAATGATCGATTGTGTGGGTGACCCGCTTTGTGACCGTTACGACTTATGACAGTGACAGACAGGCCCCGTTCCAGTTGTAAGTCGAGGACTCACTGTATTTAGTTAACAGTGGCTTATTCAAACCATATTTTTGATGTGAAAACCTATTTTCCTAGTAGAAAATAACTACGTTGGAAATATATATGTGTGTTGATGAGATCAAAAATTAAAAGCTCCCTGCAGACTCTTAGAAAAACTGGTCTTGTTCTCGTTACCTGGAGTCAATCCTCAGCCCCTAAAGCAGTGGTTCTCAACCTTTTTAATGCCGCGACCCCCCAACCGGTCGTAAGTCGAGGACTACTCAACTGGTTTAGCACTGTTTGCAGAATGGGACTTTTGGCGGGTTCAGCAGGGCAGAGACAGCCTGGACAATTCCTATTGGCTTTTGAAAGCCAATAGAATTAGACTCTATTCAAGAGAGTCTATTTTATTGGCTTTCGAAAGCCAATAGAATAAAAGGGAGTAGCACAGCTAAGGAAAAGGGGGAAAAAAATGGCGGACTGCGTTGTTTGGCGACCCCCGTGAAATGGTCGTTCGACCCCAAATGGGGTCCCGGCCCACAGGTTGAGAACCACTGCCCTAAAGCCTCTTGGGGATTTTAAACCATAAGAGAGAAAAAAGAATGAGACCAAAAGGGCCTTATTAAGGCAGCTCTCCTCCATTCGGAATTTTCAAGACAGATTGGACCCCACATCCCACTCCTACAGAACCAGTGTGTCAACATCCAGCTTGAGAATCCAAATAAAACTCCAGGTTCATTCCATTTCTGAAAATCTTATTGTTTATTGAATACACTGCTTGGTTATGTCGAAGCAAAACTAACTCTGAGGTTTCAACACCAATGCATAGACTTAAACAATACTTTTCTCAGCCAAACCCCCAACATCTTAATGTAATAATAATAATAATAAAGTTGGAAGGGACCTTGGAGGTCATCTAGTCCAACCCCCTGCTCAGGCAGGAAACCCTATACTATTTCGGACAAATGGCTGTCCAGTCTCTTCTTAAAAACTTTCAATGTTGGAGCATTCACCGCTTCTGGAGGCAGGTTGTTCCACTGGTTAATTGTTCTCACTGTCAGGAAGTTTCTCTTTAGTTCTAGGTTGCTTCTCTCCTTGATTAGTTTCCACCCGTTGCTTCTAGTCCTGCCTTCAGGTGCTTTGGAAAATAGCTTGATTCCCTCTTCTTTGTGGCAGCCCCTGAGATACTGGAACACTGCTATCATGTCCCAGAATCTATATCAACAAGTCCACTTTGTTATGGGAACCGTCTACTTCACATCCACACCTGTTCTGGTGTCCTTGACAAGGCTTCAGGCTCTCACGGTCTGCAGCTGAATGGAAGTTTCATTTCTCCATCTATCCACTTGAAAGCAACACCTCCTACCCTTTAATCTAAAGGCAAGTTGAAATGCAGAGGCATTTAGCTGCAAAAGTTACATCCTGGACACTGTGATTAAAATTACCTCATTGGGGAAGGTAAATGGGAGCTCAGAGGTGCTTTTCAAAAGGCTATTGAACTTAGTTTTTTCCTTGAAAATGTTTTTGCTTCTCCTCCAAGAAGCTTCTTCGGTTCTGACTGAATGGTTGGGAATGGAAGGATTTATATTCTTTGAAGTCATCTGGTTGTTATTCTCTGAATGGGAGCTGTAGTCCAGCTATTCAGGGAATAAAAGCAGGTTATAAAGCAGGCAATGCTCTGGAAAGCAAGCTAGAGATAAACAACATTCAGGAAAATGTTCATTTTTGTGAACACAGCCTGTTTTTTTATTTCAAGTCACATAGAATTAGTGGGGGGGAGTGTCTCACAGATTGTTGAAGGCTCCACTGCTTTCAGAGGAAAACGACTCTTTGTGCGTGTACAAAGGGGTGTACCCACCTCTTTCCAATTGGCTTATGTGTGCAGTCAGCAGCACGTATACAATCTCATTTAAAAGGCTGTAGGCTTGCTCTGATGAAAAAGCTTCTAGAGTAGTTTTAGATACTGGTCCAATTAGGCTTACTTGCAGACTGCAGGCCACTTTGGCTGACTGTGTTCAGCAGGTCAGCGGTTCAAATCTCACCGGCTCAAGGTTGACTCAGCCTTCCATCCTTCCGAGGTAGGTAAAATGAGGACCCAGATTGTTGGGGGCAATGTAAATATATATATATATATATATATATACATTGCCTACTGGTGTACACCGCTTAGAGAGTGCTTGCACTTAAAGCGGTATATAAGTCTCATAAATAAATAAATAAATAAAAGAAAGAGGGGAAAAAATGGAGGCAGGCACCAATTTTTAGAGTTAAGTTGTAGATCGTGTTAGATTGGCTAAAATAGATCCAATCATTGGAGAGAAGCCATATAAGAAGGCTTGAAAGCTAGCTGTGAAAGATACTTGCATTCTTGTTTACTGTATTTTCTGGCGTATAAGACGACTTTCTAAAGTGCAGAAATCGGCGCCGAAGTCGGGGATCGTCTTATACCCCGAGTCGTCTTATATGCCGGAAATTACGGTAGTTTCCAGCGGATAAGACGACTTTCTAGGCATGGAAATTGGCGCCGAAGTCAGGGGTCATCTTATACGCCAGGTCGCCTTATACGCCGGAAGACACGGTAGGTATTAAAGTAGTTGTCATAGTTAAATCAATGTTTTTCACCCCTCAGCAACTTTATGTTATGTGGACTCCAACTCCCAGAATTCCCCAGCCAGCCAGCTGGCTAGGAAATTCTGGGAATTGGAGTCCACAGGTTATAAAGTTGCTAAGGCTGAGAAACATGGAGTTAGTTGTATGTGGCACACGGTCTGTGGTGACTGTCAGTCCTGCCTCTACTTGAACCTTAAGCAATACAGGTAGTCTTCGACTTACAACCGCAACTGAGCCCAACATTTCTGTTGTTCAGTGAGACATTTGTTAAGTGAGTTTTGCCCCCATTTTGATGACCTATCTAGCTACGGTGGCTAAGTGAATCCTTGCAGTTAAGTTAGTAACACGGTTGTTAAGTGAATCTGGCTTCCCCACTCACGTTGCTTGTCAGAAAGTTGCAAAAGGGGATCACGTTGACCCCGGGGAGACACTGCAGCCGTTACAAATATGAACCAACTGCCAAACATCCAAATTTTGATCCCGTGACCATGGGGATGCTGCAGTGGTCGCAAGTGTGAAAAAGGGTCCTAAGTCACTTTTTTCACTGCTGTTGTGATGGTCACTAAACAAACTGGTAAATCGAGGACTCCCTGTAGCGATCCATGAGCCCATTTTTATGACAAAGGTATAGTTTACTTGATGTAGGTGAAGAAGGAGAGTGCAAAAGTTGGCTTGAAACTCAACATTAAGAAAACCAAGATCATGGCATCCGGCCCTCTCAATTCCTGGCAAATAGATGGGGAAGAAATGGAGGTAGTGACAGATTTTATCTTTCTGGGCTCCAAGATCACCGCAGATGGGGACTGCAGCCAAGAAATTAAAAGACGCTTGCTCCTGGGGAGGAAAGCTATGGCAAATCTAGACAGCATACTAAAAAGCAGAGACATCACCCTGCCAACAACAGTGTGTATAGTCAGGCCATGGTTTTCCCAGTTGCAATGTATGGCTGTGAAAGTTGGACCATAAGAAAGGCTGAGCGCCAAAGAATTGAGGCCTTTGAACTATGGTGCTGGAGAAGACTCCTGTGGGTCCCCTGGACTGCAAGGCGATCCAACCGGTCAGTCCTAGAGGAGATCAACCCTGACTGCTCTTTAGAAGGCCAGATCCTGAAGTTGAAACTCAGGATCTGAGCCTTTGGCCATCTAATGAGAAGGAAGGACTCACTGGAAAAGAGCCTGATGCTGGAAAAGATGGAGGGCAATAGAAGAAGGGGACGACAGAATGAGGTGGATGGATGGAGTCCCTGAAGCAGTAGGCGTGAGCTTAAATGGACTCCAGAAGATGGTAGAGGACAGGAAGACTTGGAGGAACGTGGTCCATGGGGTCACGATGGGTCGGACATGACTTCGCAACTAACAACAACATAGTTTATTGAGGTCAAGTGAAGTATAGTAAAATAAAGCTAGACGGGGCAAATTCCCAAGTATAATTCCCCCTCTCCAAGATACTCGCCCCTCCCTTGGTTCCCGTTTGTCCAGTCGCGTTCAAAGCAGATGTTTTGGGAACGGTTATCCTTGGTATGCAGCTGCATTCTCATGTGGCTGTCCTTGTCTCTCGGCCAGCAGGGTGAAAAGTCTTGAGTTCTCCTCCCCACTCCCAATCGGTTCCCCTCCCACTCACCCACCCACCCAGCAAAGTAAAGAGCAGCTCTGACATTTATTTACATCTCTTACAGCCACAATTGAGCCCAACGTTTCTGTTGTTAAGCGAGACATTTGTTAAATGAGTCTTGCCCCATTTTACGACCTTTTTTGGTGGTTAAGTGAATCACTGCAGTTAGTAACCTGGTTGTTAAGTGAATCTCCCCCCCCCCCGACTTTGCTTGTCAGAAGGTCGCAAAAGGGGATCACTTGACCCCGGGACATGGCGACAGTCATAAATAGGAACCAGTTGCCCAGCGTCTGAATTTTGATCACAGGATCATGGGGATGCTCGAAAGGTAACTGTGAAAAATGGTCCTGTCACTTTTTTGTTGTACACGGCCACTAAGCGCATTGTGGTAAGTCGAGGTTTACCTCCAAGATTATTTGTAGATGACTTTTGGGGGGGAGTGTCTTTGGCCATTGAAGAATAAAAGGCAGTAGATATAAACAACTCTCTCTCTCTCTCTCTCTCTCTCTCTCTCTCTCTCTTCCTCCTCCTCCTCTTCTTATTTTTTCTCTCTCCTCCCCCAAGATATTTGCAGAACAAGAAAAATGGGGAGGCCCAGGAAAACATCGGATTCTGCTGCATCTCCACGCCCAGCGGCTACAGCCCCAAAGGCAGGTCCGGGAACTCCTCACTCATCGGCCTCCTCCAGGACCATCACTGCGACCGCTGCAAAGCCGACGGCTCCTAAGAGCGGAAGCGGTAGCGGATCAGGCCCAGAGAAGGCCTATTCCACAAAGCCTAGAGGAGCAAGGGAAAGTGTCCAGCCCAGCTCTGCAACGGCTTCTGAGGGCCCACGAGGAGGTACGCGAAGGAAGAGTGAGGGAGCGGCAGCCAAGAGCTCCACGGCATCGGGTGGGGCAAAGGCTTCCGATGCGGTCAGCAAAACCCAAGGCAAAGCGAGGGGCCTGCCTGCGCCCCTCCCCCCTGAAAAAGTGGCCGAGGTCGAGCGGGAAACGCGGGGTCAGTGGAGAAACCCCGAATGGCACAAGTGGCGCGAGAACCGCATCACGGCCTCCATCGCTCCCAAGATCTCCAACAGCAAGTTTGTCAACGGCCGGACCACGGAAGTGCCTCAGTCGTACCTGAAGGCTGTGGTGGGATCGGGCTCTGGGGTACAGAGCCCGGCCATGTCTTGGGGGGTCCGCAATGAGAAGAAGGCAGTGCAAGCTTATGAAGCCCTCAAGTCCAGCACGGCAAAGAAGCCGGTGAAGGTGAAAGATTGCGGCCTCTTTGTCGACAGAGACAAGCCCTGGCTGGCTGCCAGCCCCGACGGCATTGTCCAAGAAGCGGATACCGGCAAGGATCTTGGTCTCTTGGAGGTGAAGTGCCCCTATAAACACAGAAACAAGACGGTGTCCGAAGCCTGCAAAGATAAAACATTCTGTCTGGAAAAGGAGGGCGGTTCCTACTCACTGAAGAAAGATCATCCCTATTATACCCAAGTTCAGTGTCAGATGAAAGTCTCCGGCCTGGACAAAGCGGATTTTGTCGTTCACACCAAGAAAGAAACTGCAATCGCCCCGGTAGATTTTGACCCGGATTTCTGGAAGCAAACAGTCCCCAAGCTGCAGAAATTCTACACGGATGCTGTGCTCCCTTATCTGGAGGAAGAGAAGCGCTCTGCTGCCTGGGCCAATGAAGAGTGAAGCTGTGGGAAGTTTCTGATTTTCTCCTCCCCCCCCCCCTTCAGAGATGCGCCTTCAACCTGTTTACCTGTTCTCCTTTATCCTGCCTTCTCCAAGAGGACAGAATCAGCTGCAGCTTGTGTGTCCAAAGGCAAGCTTTGTAAATTCTGTAAAACAGCCCTACAGAGAGGTGTTTCCCAATCTGGGCAATTTTGAAGTATGCAGACTTCAACTCCCAGAATTCCTCAGCTAGTCTAGGTGACTAGAGAATTCTGGGAGTTGAAGTCCAAACCTCTTAAAAGTCATCAAGATTGAGAAACATTGGCCTAGAGCATGGGTAGGCAACCTTTTATGACTCGTGGACTTCAACTCCCAGAATTCCTGAGCCAGCATGGCTCAGCTTGGAAACCTCTCTTTCCCCTCAGCATGGCTGGCTCAGGAATTCTGGGAGTTGAAGTCCACGAGTCATAAAAGAGCCAAGGTTGCCTACCCCTGGCCTAGAGTGTGTAGCCTGCGTCTGTCTGTGTGCCTGTCAGCTAGCAATTTTAAATATCTGCATTCCTCCTGGGAATGTGCAAAGTGCCTTCAGCCGGCTATCAAACCAGACCAATGTCTAGAGCAGCCCCAATTCTTCTCCTCCTGCTGAGCATCATTGTTTATTCTTTTTTTAGCTGACCAGGCAGTAGGACCATATTGTTGCTAAAAAAAAAAAAAAACCCTTGCTGCTTTCACAATTCCAGATCTATCTACAGCTTTCTTCCATGCTAGACCCATTCTGAAATGAAAAATGATTTTTCCTTGAGATATGGTAACATAACCAGAAACGCTAAAAGGACCTGGGACATGATATGCTTACAACTGAATAATGTTTCAATTCACGACAGAGCTAAATTGTCCTCATCTTAACGTGTTGCCAGTATTTTCTGCAATCTGTGTTGGCCAAGAAAGGCCCAGTGTGATAACCAAGAAGGCGACAAGTTGTGTGGAAGATGATGGTGACCCGGTTAATTAAAGAGCTGCAGGTTTTGAGCGTGGATCAAAACCCAATGCAACCCTTCCATTTCCTGCTGTAAATGGCACGCACTGTTATATACCCAGAATGATGTTATCCAGTGGTAAAAGAGAAAAAAGTGAGATTGTTTAGGCAAGGGGATCGATATGCTGACCTGTTCTATGTCGGCACATGTGAAAAGTGCATCTTTGCTTAGAAAGTTTAGAGAAAAAAATTATAATTAAAAAAAAGTAATTTTGAGAGAATTGCAACTGAGTTTTTGAAAAGAAGTGAAGTTTAAAAAATTGTAATTAAAAATATGATTGGGGGGGGATTGCAGTTGAATTTTTTTTTTTTTTTTTTAAAGAAGTTTTGTTTGTGGTATTTTGTCTTTGGGACACAGTAAAAAGCAATTCCTTCTGTTTGTCACCTGGCTTTAGTTATGAAAATAAAAATAAATCTATGCTGGATGTTGCCCTGTGCTCTTTAATGCAACCAGAAAAAAGGATTGAGGAAATGGGGATGTAAATGCCTCATTTGTTCTGCTTAGCTTTATTACCCATGGCTAACAGTATTCTAATATCTTTTTGTTAAGGCAGGGGATTTGGTGCCTTTCTGCTCAAAGAGCACATGGGATGACTGGAAGAGAAGCTTTAAATGCAGGAAACTTGCAGAAAGAAAAATCAGCTGATTTGGGAAAGGTGTCTGTATTTTAATCCTAAAGCTGAACTGTTGAGGCCAAGATTCCAAACCTGTCTTTAAAGCTTAACAATAATAATAATAATTGGAAAGGACCTTGGAGGTCATCTAGTCCAACCCCCTGCTCAGGCAGGAAACCCTATACCATTTCAGACAAATGGCTGTCCAGTCTCTTAAAAACTTCCAGTGTTGGAGCATCCACCGCTTCTGGAGGCAGGTTGTTCCATTGATTAATTGTTCTAACTGTCAGGAAGTTTCTCCTTAGTTCTGGGTTGCTTCTCTCCTTGATAAGTTTCCATCCATTGCTTCTTGTCCTGCCTTCAGGCGCTTTGGAGAAGAGTTTGACTCCCTCTTCTTTGGGGCAGCCCCTGAGATACTGGAACACTGCTATCATGTCCCCCCTCGTCCTTCTCTTCCTTAAACTAGACATTCCCAATTCCAGCAGCTGTTCCTTATATGCTTTAGCCTCCAGTCCCCTAATCCTTTGTTGCTCTTCTCTGCACTCTTTCTAGAGTCTCAGCGTCTTTTTTACATCATGGTGACCAAATGGGATTATGAATGTTAACATGCCAAAGGAGGAAACAAACCCAAGGGTTAACAGTTTATCTAGAAAGATCAGCTCTTTAAGAGACTATGTAGCATCCTAATTTCCAACTTTACTTTCAGTTACACGACAGGCAGTCCTTACAACAGAGTCTAGCAGTTAAAGAGTCCTGAAGGTTGTAAAGCAGGTCACTCCTGTGACGGACCTGATTTTGTAGCCTTTTCTTGTAGCAATCATTAAGCAAGCCCATTCACTGTGGGCCAGCTTCTGCTGGGAACTGGAAGTAAGTGCTGGTTTCTGGCAAAAAAATATCCCTGTGGGAAAGCCAATAAGAGGAAACAAGAACTAATTGAGAAATATGAGAGTGGATGAGAAAGATTACATTTAAACGGGGGGGGGGGGGGGGGAATATTGGACAAACTGAAAAATTAGGACAAGAGCCCAGTGGTTTGATTTGCATTGAAATGAAGCATCAAGAGCTGCTTAAAAGTATTTTAATCTATACGTATCACTCGGTATATACCCAGTATACAGCATGTACTGTGCTACCTTACATTTTTATAGAGACTAACTGTAAAAATGTAAACACTCAAGGGGAGCAGAGGTACTGATGGGATCATGTTAGGTCTGGATATTTTTTATTATTATTTTTGCTTTTAGCTGTGACCAGGTGCCTATTTCAAACTGGGCACAAACCTACATTCTAAAGACTACTGCGTATTCCGTGGGCCATCAGAACAGAGCTTTGAGATCAGTGTTTCTCAACCTTGACCATTTTAAGGCATGCGGACTTCAACTCCCAGAATTCCACAGCCAGTAATGCTGGCTGTGGAATTCTGGGAGTTGAAGTCCGCGTGCCTTAAAATGGTCAAGGTTGAGAAACACTGTTTTAGATCGATGACGCGTGGCTGAAGGATGAGATGAAATCAAGGCACATGGGTCAAACCAGAAGAGGCTCAGTGGAGCGGGGAGAACGACAATCCTCTCCATTTGCTTGCTGGCACAATTTCCCCAGGAACACCGGGTAGTTTGCATAGTACACAGTTCTCTCTTTTTTTTTAAAAAAAAAAAAGACCCCCAGATTGCTTTTCCTGGGGACAAGCAGGACCCAATCTGCTTCTGAGGTGCCTCACCACCCATCTTACCTTGGGGAAGAAGTTGTCTCCCCTTTTAGCTCCCAAGAAGGCTCTACAGCAAGGGTCCTCAACCGTGGCAACCTTAAGACTTGTGGACTTCAACTCCCAGAATTCTGGGAGTTGAAGTCCACAAGTCTTGCCACGGTTGAGGACCCCTGCTCTACAGCTACTGTACTACCTTCGCCGTTCCCCGTTTGCGATCCTCCCACAGTCCCACGTTCCCTTCAAACAAAACAGTAGTGCAACGGGAAGTCTAGGCTAGGTCAGTGAGTCGAGTAGATAATAGCTATATATTTTCTAAGCCTCTGCATACCAAGTATGTACAGTTGGGGAACATCATCACCCTTTTCCCGGTCCAATCGTGACTAGCCCGGCTATCGCACGGCATCTCGCTCAAATGCTGAAAGGATGGGAAACTGATGCCGGCAGTCCTGGGGGCAGAGAACAGCGCGCTCGCTAACTGGACCGCCAAAGAGCCCTCTCTTAAGCTGTGTGTGAGTGTGCACAAAGGGGAAGGGACTGGCCCCCCTTGAAGTGTGCTTTTGGGAAAGGAGCTCTAAGGGGCAAAGGACAACCACAAAATCGGGGTGCATAATCTTGACCCAGTTAAAAGTCCGAGCAGCTAGCGTACCACAGAAAAACTCTTGCTTGGGCCCCAACTCCCTTTAGGCTGCTGAGAAAAGGCACCTCTGCGCAAGGGCAGAGAGAGAGAGAGACTACTGGCTGACTTAGTGCATTGCCAGAAGCAATCCCCCCCCCCCCTTCCCCAACAGTCGCTTGTGTCTGCCAGGGCATTTGTGCATTTGCTGCTCTAGCATAACCCTGAGATCTCAACAGCACCTCCGTGCCGCCTCTTTCCCCATTTCAACTTTTGGAATAAGACACACAGGGGTGTCAAAAACGTTTTGGAAATTGCCAGGGCTGCCTCTGGTCTTCTCCTCCCTGGGGGGGGGGGCAGTTCCTGCGTTTTGATTGTCTCGGCAGCGGAAAATCCAACTGAAGCTTTGAGGGCGGCCCTTCGTCCCTCCCAGCGACAGTCAATCGCAGAAGCGCTTGCGGGGGACGGTCCGGGCTCTGTTGGATCGGCGAATCTCTTGTTTCGCGTCGCGGCAGCGTTGGCAGATGAAGACATCGGGCACGTTGGACTTGCGGATCTTGGCGCAGGAGAGGTGTATCCAAGTGGCGCACTCGTTGCATTCGATCATGGGCCGCCCGGCAAAGGGCTTCAAGCAAAAGCAGGTAATTAGGTCCCAAGCGTCATCTTCTGCATTAACAGGAGAAAAGGGATGTTTTATGGACAGCGCCCTTGCTTTGTTTTATTCAGCCAGCACACACCAATCTAATATTGTGGTTGGTAAGGTTACTTTTTTCCCCCTTAGGCTCCTTAGAGATGGCTGTAAAATTAGCCTTTTTAACTTCCCTTTGCTCCCAACCCCACTTCCTTTATGTAAAAAGCTTTAAATGACGTGCCTCTTGGGAGTGAATGAGCCTCTACGGCAGTGTTTCTCAACCATGGCCATTTTAGGATATTGTGGTCCTACGTTCCCAGAATTCCCCAGCCAGCTCAGCATTCTGGGAGTTGAATCCCACAGGCCTTAAAAGTTGCCGGACCGAGAATTGTGGCTCTCTGGGCTTATTAAAACAGCCAACTGAAATGCATTTGCTCCCCCCCTACTGGCAGTTGGCAATACTACCCTTAACTCACCATCTGTTTTAGCGTCTGAGGCTGCAGTAAACTCCTTAGGCAGATCTGCAAGAGGGAAGAGAGAAAAATATCAGAAAAGAGAGTGACCACAGTATGTTGCTCACTGCCTGGATTTGCACAGCATCTTTCAACCTAAAGAGTAGGCCAGTGGTGGCGAACCTATGGCACGGATGCCAGAGGCGGCACTCGGAGCCCTCTCTGTGGGCACACATGCCATTGCCTCCCCCTGCGACCCCCTCACCAGCAGCCCCCCTGAAGGAGAGTCGCCCCTGAGCGTGGCTCACGCGGAGCAGCACAGCCAAGGACATGGCAGCCAGGCAGCGTAGACAAGACTCTGCCCTCACACCCCATCATGCACAGTTGATGCTGCGGGGCACGGGCAGAGGCGTGGCCATGGCGCTGCTGGGCTGCCTGAGCGATCTGCGGCGGGCCCTGGAGGCGGTGAGTGGCCCTGCGGGCAGCGGGATGGGAGTGGAGCAGGGGTGGGGCAGGGGGTGGAGTGGGGCCGGGCCAGTTTTTGGGCACTCGGCCTCTAAAAGATTCGCCATCAGTGGAGTAGGCCATGTAAAATTGATTAAAGCAGCCACAATACCTTTAATTGATGAGGTTAAGGAGCCAACCTTTCCAAATCAAGAGATTCGTGAAAAATTCTTGCAGCTTATTGGATCCTGATGTTAACACTAAATATTGCCTAATCTCATGAACAAAATCTACCAACAATGGGGAAATAATATCATCTGGCACTCCTCAAATAGGATCATTCCCAGGGAGGACACAAGCCAAGTCATTTCCACCCGTTCTCTAGGGCAGTGATTCTTAACCCAGCTTTTAAATTGGTAGATTTCAACTCCCAGAATTCCCTAGCCAGCATCGCTAACTGGGGAATTCTGGGAGTTGAGGTCCACCTATCTAAAAGTTGCTGAGGTTGGAAAACACTGCTTTAGGGAACTGCTCTGTTAAAAGACCTGTGCGCTAGATCAGTGGTTCTCAACCTTTCTAATGCCCCGACCCCATAATACAGTTCCCCATATTGTGGTGACCCCCAACCACTTTATACATCACCGGGTGCCAGGGGCGTGGCCAAAGAAAAGGGGAAAAAAATGGCGGACAGCCTTGTTTGGCGACCCCCGTGAAATGGTCGTTCGACCCCAAATGGGGTCCCGACCCACAGGTTGAGAACCACTGTGCTAGATGGACCGAGGTTAGCCGCTGCATCTGGTTAAGGTGGTCGCCCTTGCTGAATTTCTTCTAAAAGCACCGGTGCTTGCAGACTTACTGTTAAGTTGAGGGGCTTCTCCGCCAGGTTCTTCGGCACTTTGCTCCACCACGTCCCAAGAGGCAGAGTTGGTTCTCTCCTCTTTGCACGTCCCTTGTTCCTTGGTCTTCTCTTCAGCGTAAAGTCCAGGGAGACAGTCTTTCTCTGTCTGCTCCAGGAGAGGTCTGGATGGCAGCTCTTGGAGACAGGGTTTCAGCTCCTTCACTTCCTCGCAAGTCTCGAGCGTTCTCTGCGTATAGTCCTTCAGGGGCATCAAGCCCTTGTCCATCCCTTGGCTCACACCCAGTTTCTTTGATGACTGCTTTCTCTTCTTGGTTTGCTGGTGCCGACCACTGCAAAAGCCACCGGTTACGTTAGGGCAGTTCAGCCCCTCCCCTGTCCCTTTGTAGGCCGTGTTCCTGCTTCCTCCGTCATCTGAAAGCACTTGAGAGTCACAGGACTGGGACGATCCCCAACTGTCACTGTCTTGGGTGCTTCCAGTGCTGTTCTGGGGGCTCCTGTTGCCTCGGTATGTCCATGGCTCATTCTGGGGATGGAAAAAAAAAGAGAGAGAGAAAAAGACGTGTGATCTGCCTTATTGCAAATGGGAAAGAATGGGAACGCCCAGCGCCCAGGACAAGAAAGCGGATTCCGTGATCAACATTTCTTACCTCCTTTGGATAGGGAATGTAGCCTGCGTAGGCTAGCACAAAGGTGCAGAATTGGTTGAAGTCTTCTACAGTTCTCTGTCTTTTCTGGGGTGGCTGCAAAGATACATGGGATCTCAGTATCCTTTTAACAAACCAGTTGAGTGTAAACAGTAGAGCGTTTCTAGGACGTTGCCCCAAGAAGTGGAATGTCGTAAGAACACAGCCAATGCAGGTCGGTTGACAAAACCTAGGCCAGTGGTGGCGAACCTATGGCACGCGTGCCAGAGGCAGCACTCGGAGCCCTCTCTGGGGGCACACCTGCCGTTGCCCCAGCCTCGCCTCTTCCTATGACCCCCTCCTCACCAGAAGCCCCCTTGGAGGAGTCGCCCCCGAGCGTGGCCCACGCGGAGCAGCGCAGCCAAGGACATGGCAGCCAGGCAGCATAGACAAGACTCTGCTCTCACGCCCCATCGCGCACAGTTGATGCTGCGGAGGGTGGGCAGAGGGTATGGCCACCATGGCACTGCTGGGCTGCCTGGGTGATCTGCGGTGGGCCCTGGAGGCGGTGAGTGGCCCTGAAGGCAGGCGGGATGGGGCGGGGGCGGAGCAGGGGGTAGAATGGGGCGGGGCCAGTTTTTGGGCACTCGGTCTCTAAAAGGTTCGCCATCACTGACTTAGGCTATCCCATTCAATTCCATAAATCATTGCCCACCCTACTCAGACCCAAAACCTACCATCTTGTCAATGTATCCTTGGTCTACATTGTGAGCAAAATACCTTTTAAGGTGGATTGCTTGCTATCCAAATGTAAGCACCTCCCTCCCTCAGAGACAGGCCATTGATTATCCTGCTCAATATTACGGACCGTCAACGCCAGGTCAGGAGAAAACATGAATGCATCTCAAGCACCAGTTAAGCTTGGTTTGTGTGGGAGATTCTGGTGTGGCACCAGCACAAGAGGAGCCCCAATGTAGGCTGGCTTTCTGGATCATCCAGGGGAACATCTGAATGCCTTTAGAAAGCTCACCAGCCTGGATTCCCCAGTTCCCTCCACTGTGGCTTCCCAGCAGCACATATTTCAAGCCTTCAGCCACAAACACAGGATGGTGTCCACAGCCCTCAATTTGGATAGCCACGTCCCCTTTAGTTCCTTCTCAAACCATCCAAATTGCTGATAATTCCATTATTTGTCAATCAGTCAAATATGCGTGGCTCACAAAAAAGCAACTCTAGACGGCTTGCAACAATATTTAATTATACATCAGGTGGAAAATGCTTCCTTCTCAGTCCTGAATCTCGTGTTTAGATTCATGCAATGAATGACCTTGAGTTCTGACACCACGCATCCCTTTTGCCCAATATTTAAGGTTTGTGTGGTTTCACACACTTCCATCTCTATCTTGTCTTCCTTTATTATCTTTCATTCCAAACTAAAGGGTCTCCATTATTGTACTCTTTTCTTGTAAGGCAGCCAGTCCTGCCCCCTAATTATTTGGCGTGGCCTTCTAGCCCTCTAAGGATGTCCTTAAGGGGGTGGGCTGACCACAACTGTACACTGAACACCAAGTATTGTCACGTCACAACGTTGTTTAAATCCAACCTATATTCTTCAGTTTTCAGTGTTTCTCAACCATGGCAACTCCCAGAATTCCCCAGCCAGCAGGGAAACAAACACGGAAAAATCGGTTTTTTCAAAGACCTGGATTAAGAGATGATGTGGGGATACAGCCACAAGGTATTTTATAGCCAAAACGTGCTTTCTGCCTCAGTGAATACTATCACTTCCCCGAGGATCCCAGCTTCCCTTAACAAAAGGAGGGAAATTTATTGTTGTTGGGTTTTTTTTTTTTTTTTTTTTTGTTTAAACATTTGGGACATTTAGCTTCCCAAGATATTATAAACAAGAAGAAAATACGTAGGCCACCCAATCTCTTATCACCACAGACAGCACAGTTTGGCCCTGTGGTTTTTCTGGCTTCCAAACCCAAAGAGGAAGAGAGTGAATTCCAGCAGTAAATCTCAGCGCCCCGGATCTCCAGGGAACTCTCCAGCTATTTAGTAGGGAAGATGATAATAACAATGATAATGGTGTGGAAGTGTGGAGACATTTCCCTGCAGGCATGCAGTCAAAGCAAACAAGTAGGCTTGCCCTGCAGACAAAAGGAAAGCTGGGAGATCAGATTCCAGCCAAAACAAGGGAGATTTTGCTGAACTCATAATATCCTCCCTACCCAATTTGAAGCATGCCTAGGACAGTCGGTTGTTTTTTTTTTTTTTGGGCAAAAGCCTGGGCTTAAATTCACCCAATGTGTCATTTGATAGCGAGACGGGCAGCATATAAATTTAATAAGTAATACTGATGAAATGCCCTGGCAAGCTGGCCGATGGGCCCAGCCCCCAAAGTTGAGAAGGAGAGGCAGGACAGGTATGGTCTAGAGCAGGGGTAGGCAACCTCGACTCGTGAACTTCAACTCCCAGAATTCCTGAGCCAGCCTGGCTCAGCTTGGAAACATCTCCCTTTCCCTTCAGCATGGCTGGCTCAGGAATTCTGGGAGCTGAAGTCCACGAGTCATAAAAGAGCCAAGGTGGCCTACCCCTGGCCTAGAGTCAAGGGAGTACTTCATTCCTTGCCCCATGTCCATAAAAAACTCTAAAAGGTAAAGGTTTCTCTGTCAGTCATGTCTGACCCTAGGGCATGGTGCTCATCTCTGTTTCTTGGCCTAGAGTGTTGTCCAAAGATATTTTCCCTGGTTATGTGGCCAAAAGCGCACAGAATGGTGTTTACCTTCCCAGTAAAATGGTACCTATCTATCTACTAGCATTTGCATGCTTTCAAACTGTTAGGTGGGCAGGAGCAATGTAAATATATATATACATTGCTTACTGGTGTACACTGCTTAGAGAGTGCTTGCACTTAAAGCGGTATATAAGTCTCATAAATAAATAAATACCTAAATGGTCGCCACAAACAAGAGGGGGTCAACCTATTCTCCAAAGCAACTGAAAGCAGGACAAGAAGCAACGGATGGAAACTAATTAAGAATAGAACCAACTTAGAACTAAGGAGAAATTTCCTGACAGGGAGAATAATTAACCAGTGGGACGACCTGCCTCCAGAAGTTGTGGGTTGCTCCAACACCTGAGGTTTTAAAGAACAGATTGGACAACCATTTGTCTGAAATGGTGTGTAGGGTCTCTTGCCTGAGCTGGGGGTTGGACTAGAAGACCTCCAAGGTCCCTTCCAACTTAGTTACTCCGTGTTCCCGTTATCCACACTAAGAAAAAGGATGCTGTTCCTCAGGGAGATTAATAAAATTTACGGGCCACCCATCTGGCTCTCCAGACCGCCTCCGCTTACTATTTAGAGAAGAGAAAGCTGTCTGAATGGATCCAGGCCAGGAACGGGGGGGGGGATTCCCTAAAAAAGCAGGCTTTCCTGCCACATCTCAAAACAGGAAAGGGGGACAGATGTGAAGAAGAAGAGACACTGACCTAACTTCAATCAATCTTTTCAGGGACGGAGGGAAGGCGATGAAGCCACCAGGGTGACCCTGAGACTGAAGGGGAGGATCCAGCAAGAGCCTGGAAATAATTTCCCCTTTTTTGGACGGGGGGGGGGGGTGGAGAAGAATTGTCCTCTCCACACACCAAGACCTGAGCAGAGGCGGCGGGGGGGGGGGGTTGATGGTTGAGAGGGAGCAAAACCTTGTCCCACCCCCCCCCAAAAGAGAGGGGCATAATTCTCTGAGGGGGAGGGAGCAACCCCTCCACCCCTAAATGCCACCCGGTCGATGCCACGTAAAACCCGAAGAAGGGAGCTGAGTACGAAACACCCTCCTCGCCCCCCCTCCAAAAAGGGGCCAAGCGAACTTTCCGACCCCCCTCCCCACACGCTTCTCTCCCTCCCCCCCCACTCCCCGGGGTGGCGCTTAAGATGGCGCCGGCGCCGTGTCGTCCTGGGCAAAAAGAGCCGGGAGCGCCCGGGGGAACTTCGCCGCCCTCGCCGCCCACCGGCCCCGGGAGTCTCGCCTCGCGCGGGCTTCCCCCGCGCAAAAACCTCCCCCCGGCCAGAAAACGCGGGACGGCGCTGCCAAACTCCTCCTCGGGCTCCGGAGCCGGGGCGGAGCCGCCGTCGCGCCAAAGACACCCGGGAGCGCCGCCCCCGCCGGGGAGAACCACGCTCTCCGCTCCCCACCCCCGCTCCGAAGCGAGCCCCGAGTCTCCACGGGGGCCACCGCGGACCCCCCTCCGTCCCCAGTCGGAGACCGGCCGGCTTGGGAAGGCGTGGGGGGCGGCGGCGCAGATGGAGCGGGGGATCAGTCTTCTTGCCCGCCCGGGTTCTCTTCTCCCGGCCCCGCCGCTGTCCGGCGCGGCCCGGCCCGGCCCTCCCCTCCGCTCCCCGCGGGCTGGGGCTCGTCGGGAGCCGCCGCGCTCGGACTCACCTCGTCGAAATGGGGGAAGCCCGGACTGGGCACGGGGCTGGCAGCTGAAAAGGAGAGGAAGGGGCGGTTAGATCGGGCCGGGAAAGCAGCCGCCCCGCCTTGGACCCCGGCGCCCTCCGCCCGGCAGGCCGGGCGCGCTTCGGCTCCCAGGCCGAGCCTCCTTTTCGCAAAGCGGCCCCGCCGCCCTGCCCTGCCCTCGCCCCCTCCCGGCTCCCCCCCTCTCCCCTCTCGGTCCGTTGAAACGGGGAGGCTGCCCGGCTGACCCACCTGCATCCTCCTCGGGGCTGTTCATCATCCCCGCCGCCGCTCGAGCCGGATCGCTCGGCTGTCCGTCCCTCGTTTCGACCGCCGCTGCTCAACCCCGGGCGCGAGCAGGGATCGGGGCGCGGGGTTGGGAGGGTTAGGCCGGCGGCGGAGCGAGCGGGCGGGCTGCGGGGCTGGGCGAGCGGCAGCAGCGCTTCTTCTTCCTCCTCCTTCTCCTCCTCCTCCTCCTCCGGCGGCGACGCAACGAGGGCTGGCGGGACTCGCGGCTCGCCTTCCCAGCCTGCCCCCCTCCCCTTGCTGTAACCGGCGCCGGCTGTTGAGCGCCAACTCCGCCTCCCCCGGGCCGGCTCCGCCCAGCCAGGACTGGCGCGGGAGGCAGTACCACTTGGGGAGGAAGGGGAAGGGGCGGTGGCGGGCGCGCGGAAGCCGGCGCGGGGGGAGCTTCGACTGGGGCGTCCTCCCGCGCCCACCCCCCCCGCCGCTCACTCCCTTGGATTCGCCTACCGGCTGGAGCGCTGCGGAGGGGCGGGGGTGGCTGGTCTGCCCGCCCTCCCCGGACATCTCGGCCATCGGCAGGCTGGGTGACGGTGTGGCTTTAGGAAGGGAAGGAGTCCGGCTTTGCGCTCGGATCTCCCGGCAGAGATATTTTTTTCCTTTCCTTTCCTCTTTCCCTTCCCTTCCCTTCCTTTCTCCTTCCCTTTTCCCTTTCTTTCATTCCGTCTCGCTCTTTCTTTCTCGCGCTTTCCATCCTTCCCTTCCCTTTGTTCTCTTCTCTCCTCTTTCCTTCCCTTTTTTCCTTTCCTTTCCTCTCTCCTTCCCTTTTTCCCTTTTCCTTTCTTTCAGTCCCTCTCGCTCTTTCTTTCTCGCGCTTTCCGTCCTCCTTCCCTTCCCTCTCTTCTCTCCTCTTTCCTTCCCTTTTTTCCTTTCCTTTCCTCTCTCCTTCCCTTTTTCCCTTTTCCTTTCTTTCAGTCCCTCTCGCTCTTTCCTTCTCGCGCTTTCCGTCCTCCTTCCCTTCCCTCTGTTCTCTTCTCCTCTCCTCTTTCCTTCCCGTTTTTCCTTTCCTTTTCTTTCTTTCGCTCTTTCTCGGTCTTTTGGTGCCCTTCCCCTTTTTTCCTTTTCCTTTCTTTCAGTCTCTTGTCGGTCTTTCTCGGTCTTTTGGTCCTTCTTTCAGTCTCTCGCTTTCTTTCTCGGTCTTTCGGTTTTCCTTTTCCCTTCCTTCTTTCAGTCTTCCTCCCTCCCTCCCTTCCAGCCGCGGGGATTTCCCAGCCGGGGAGCCAGAGGCGCGGGGTAATGGCGCTTCTCTCCCCCCACCTTTGGCCGAAGGCCCCAGGCCAGGGGTAGGCAACCTTGGCTCTTTTATGACTCATGGACTTCAACTCCCAGAATTCCTGAGCCAGCATAGCTGGCTCAGGAATTCTGGGAATTGAAGTCCATGAGTCATAAAAGAGCCAAGGTTGCCTATCCCTGGCCCAGGCTCTTCTGAAACGGCTTTGCCAGGCCTTTTTTTTTTTTTTTTCCCCACGTCATCACTGGGACCTTCTCGAGATGGATCCGACTCCAGTTCCCATCCTTCCCAACCGGTATAGCCGAGTTGCCAAAGCGGGGAAAGAAGGGAACGGAAGCCGCCATCGCCGACCGCGGGGCGCAGAAAGGCGACCGGTTCCTGCTCCGGATGGAGGTTGGGCGCGCGGCTGTCGAGGGAAGGAATTGCGGTACTTGGCTTGCTTGTGTCTTGAAAGGCTGCTTTTTTTTTTCTCCCCCTTTTACTTCCCTCCCAACTGGAAGGATGAAAAAGCCGGTGGGTGACCTGCTGAAAGGGTTTTACGCGACCTGCAAAATGCGCACAGAGGCTTCTGCTGGGTACAAACGGAAGGAACCGGCTAGCGGCCTTTGGTGGCCCTTCAAACGTTAGTGTGGGATCTGAGCGACTGCTCTTGGGTTGCTCTTGGGTCTGAGGCTCAAGAGAACGGCAAAACTCTACACACACACACACACACACACACACACACACCAGGCATGTTTAAAGTATCCTTTGATTATGTGTACACACACACACACACACACAAGGCATGTTTAAAGGCTCCTTTGATTATGTACACATACACACACACACACACACAAGGCATGTTTAAAGGCTCCTTTGATTATGTACACACACACACACACCAGGCATGTTTAAAGGATCCTTTGATTATGTGTACACACACACACCAGGCATGTTTAAGGGATCCTTTGATTATGTACACACACACACACACACACACACACACAAGGCATGTTTAAAGGCTCCTTTGATTATGTAGACACACACACACACCAGGCATGTTTAAAGGATCCTTTGATTATGTGTACACACACACACACACACACACCAGGCATGTTTAAAGGCTCCTTTGATTATGTACACACACACACACACACACACACACACACAAGGCATGTTTAAAGGCTCCTTTGATTATGTACACATACACACACACACCAGGCATGTTTAAAGGATCCTTTGATTATGTGTACACACACACACACACACACACACACCAGGCATGTTTAAAGGATCCTTTGATTATGTACACACACACACACACACACACACACACACAAGGCATGTTTAAAGGCTCCTTTGATTATGTACACACACACACACCAGGCATGTTTAAAGGATCCTTTGATTATGTACACACACACACACACACACACACACACACAAGGCATGTTTAAAGGCTCCTTTGATTATGTGTGCTCGCCATCATTTGGCAAACAGGGTCTTACCAAGAGATCTTGGGGTGCCAACGAGAGTGAGACTATATAGTCAGGGGACCTATGTGTGCAAATGGCATTCTGAGTGGAGTATTTGGGTAGACCTTAATAACTGCTGTGCCCCCCTGGGCTCCTTTCAGGCATTTAAGAAAATTTAACATGTAACATTTTGAACTCCAAAAAAAAAAAGGAAAAAAAGATGCTGGGTCGAAGGTTACTTTCAAATAAAATACTCAATGTCTATTTGAGTCCTCCTCTAAAAAGCCGGTGCAAACTATAAAAAGTAGGAGACGCAGCAAGGGCAGGAGAGGAGCGCTGGTGTAAAGCCAGTCCAATAAGAATGTCCGTGGTGTGTCAGCTTGTCGGAGAAGAGCGAGAAGAGCGTGAGGCCCAGCTGGCCAGGTGAGCAGAAACGCGGGTTGCCAACCGTGGTGTAGATTCTTCTTGAGCAGGGGGCTAGACTAGAAGACCTCCAGCTCTATTGCTATTCCTATCCTATTCTATTCTAAACAGAGTTGGAAGGAACCTTGGAGGTCGTCTAGCACAGGGCTTTTCAACCACCCATTGTACCACTTTTAGGATATGGCAACATCCGAGTACCACCAGTCGCCTAGCAAGGTGTCAAAAACTTAATGACCAAAAAAAAGGGGGGGGGAAGTGATAAAGTACAGGTAGTCCTTGACTTACAACAGTTCACTTAGTGACTGTTCGAAGTTACAATGGCACTGAAAAAAGTGCCCCCCAAGCCATAGCTGAGCAAGACAGCACCCTGTGGCGCTCTTCCTCCTGTCCGAGGTTTTCATTGTTGTGAGCATTTCTGTTGAGGATTGACAACGGGGGTGGGTGGGGGGGTGTTTGGTTTTTATCCCCCCCCCCCGTCTGCTGGGTGGTTGCAGCAGGTTTTGGTCACTTCACATGACCCTGGGACACTGTGACCGTCATAAATATGAATCAGTTGCCAAGCAACTGAATGTAAATCACAAGACCCTGGAGATGCTGCAACAGTCCAGCTGATCGGCGCTTCTTCTGGGCTCAGCAGAAGCGCCAGGATCAGTGCTGCTTTCCAGCTGATTGGTGCTTCTTCAGGGCTCAGCAGAAGCATCAGGATCAGCGCTGAGCTCCAGCTGGAGCCTGGTGCTGATCCTGTTGCTTCCACTGAGCCCTGACAACCCCGAAGAAGCGCCAATCAGCTGGAAAGTGGCACTGATCCTGGCACTTCTGCTGAGCCCGGACAGCCCTGCAGCTCCAGCCGTCTCTCACTCAGGCTTATGCGGTGCTGCCACCAGTTCAGCTCATTCCTCTCCTCCACTACCACTTTTCTAGGATGGTCGCGTACCACCTGCCAGATGCCAATGTACCATAGGTGATACCCGTACCACTGGTTGAAAAGCCCTGCTCTAGTCCAACCCCCTGCTCAGGCAGGAAACTCGGCCTATACCACGTCAGAATGGTATATAGGTTATATACCAAAATTTATGGTATACTATAGGGTTATACCAAAATGTAATTTTGCTGGAATAATAAATCTGGACTGTCCAGTTTCAGACTGTAGATAAACAGCCTTATAAATAAACAGCATTCTCAATAGTTAAACATTTATGTTTATGCTTATTGCAATTGCCTTCTATTATAACATCTTATGATCTAAATTGTAACATCTATCCCATTGTGCCATATTATGGTGATTCTGTTATGGTTTTATCTTAATATTTTTATCTCATGTATCGTTCACAAAGCTATATATGTGCTTTATTTAAACTTGTGTTTGTACAGTTTATCAGTGATTGCATGACCTCTGTAGATGCCATGCGCTAAATAAAATAAATGCAATTGCCTTGGTTTTGGTACATTAATTCCTCATTATAAAGGTGTATCTAACATCCCTTATAAATTACCCAGGTTCTCACTTCACTGTTTGTGTAAAAAATGGACACGTTTGTTTTTCCCCTCAAAACTTACCTTGCCTTTTGTTACAAATGTCCCTTACGCATTTAAGATCCATGAACCCATTGAGCAGTCAAAGAATAACCCATTTTTGTTTCATTCCTTGTTCAATGTTGGCCTATCCAGTAAAGTCACATAGACTTTACCTCCGTAAATTGCTATTAATAACAAGTCCACCTATCAACCTTCAAATGTGCGACACATATCTATTGTAATTCAAGTCTATTCGCTTTTTCTAAAGCAGAAAATGTGCAACAAACTTTCCTGCTTTCATAACATTTGCTAGAGATGTGCTGAAAAGTCAAAATGTGGTTTTCCCATCTACTCGGCGTAGAGCCATGCTGCACTTTCCAAAGTGTTATTTATTGTCATCTTGTAACTTTGTGATGATGATGATGATGATGATGATGATAATAATAATAAAATTGGAAGGGATCTCAGAGGTCATCTAGTCCAACCCTCTGCTCAAGCAGAAAACCCTATACCAGTGGTGGCAAGCCTATGGCACGTGTGCCAGAGGCGGCACTCTGAGCCCTCTCTGTGGGCACGTCTGCCACCACTGCCAGCAACCTACGCAGGTCCATTAGGCTGCTGCCGCCGCCCAGGGCGGCAGCCACACCCAGCACAAAGGAGGCGAAGCGGCCAGCTAGCGAGCTTGAGTAGAGGTGGTAGAACATGCCCACACCCAGCAAGCCAAAGGCCACCCTGAGCAGGGAAAGCCGGATCCCCATCGGCGCCATGGCCCCCCAGTCCCAGCTAGGATTGCATGCCTCCCCATCTATGCTGGGGCTCCTGCCCACCGCCCCACCCGCCAGAAACCCCCTGGATCTCCCCCATCCCTGCCCGACCCCCACAGGCATCCCCCCCATGAGCAGCATCGATGTGGCCATGCCCATCCCAGCCACGCCCACCCAGTGGGCCACACCCCCATGCCCCCCCCGGAGGGCACCACAATGCCCTGGCACTTTGCGATAAAAAACTGAGTTTTGGGTTATGGTTTGGGCACTTGGCCTCTAAAAGGTTCGCCATCACTGCCCTATACTATTTCAGACAAA